TGGTGTTTAATGTCCTACTCCAAACTGGGCTAATGACGACAAGGATTAAGAATGTAAGATTATTACATACATGTACATATTTTCCTTCTATTCTTCGTATTTGATTGACGAGTTTGACTGTAACATCTCCATACTGATGTCTGATAAATTGGACAAATGAGGTTGGTAATCAAAACCATGCCGGACAGACCTTATGATCTAAAGCATGTATGTTAGCCCCTTGAGTCACCCAACACCCCTAACCCATTTAGCACTTGAGACTGTACCAGCACATAACTATTGCTCCTTACCTGAACCCCACCATCCCTTCCCAACCTCATGCTGTATGGAACATGCCAGAGTCAATCTGTACCAAATCCATGGCATGGTATATGTTTGACACTGGTTCAGCAATATGAATATGAATTAAAGAACATAAGAATCTTATTATTTTTACATGTGGAAGGATATGCAAAAATCCAATGCGGCCGCAAAAATTGTTAACCCATTACGCAAAGCTTTTCAAAGTGTCCCCTTTCATTGTTACTGATATCTCATAACCATTTGTGCTTGACAAATGCAGTGGCGGACCCAGGATTTATTCCAGGGGGGTGACTAAAAGAGGTCAGGGGCGAAGCGCGGTCGACCAAAGGCGGGAGCACTAGAAGGGGGGGGGGGCATAGGGTGTCCAAAGGGGTTAAAACTATTTTGTGCTATCTGAGGTATCTTCTGGGCAATAGTTCTCAAAGAAATAAAGTGACATTACTGACACTGTTGCTGTTGGTTCATATAACATAGGCATTAAGCCAACCAAAAAACAATGATTTCATTTCGATTTTAGTTTACCTTTTAATCTAATTAATCTTAACAACACCAAAAAGAAATATTATATATATTATTAACGTTATAATACTTTAAATACTACATTTAATATGATTTCCATTTTTGTGTCTACGTGTATGTATATGTTTTAAACTTAATTATTTAATAAAAAAAAAAAAAAAAAAAAAAAAAAACCCAAAACTTTTCAGATTTTGCGTTTTTTAAATCTCTCAGGGGAGGTGACTAGTCACCCCCCCTGGATCCGCCACTGAAATGATATAATAAAAGTGTACAAGTCTGGAGTGAAATATTCACTGTTTAACACTGCCAACAGCCTTGATCTTATTCCATTACATGTACCTACCTCAGGGACATTAGGACCAGACAGAATGGACAAAGGATTGATCGAAAATTTTACTGACAGTGAAACAAAGATCGTGTCAATGTGTATGTTACATATAAGTTCCTGTTGTGTCGGCTACAAGTGAAATGGAACGAAGACCCACAAAGATCCATCAAGATCAAAATATATGAGTATACAATATAAAGGAGATATAAAACATAATGTCATCGACTGCGTCACCGCACCACATCATTTCATCATTATTCAAATCGTCTACTCTTTTAAATCTTCCGTAATAAAACTCAGCAGAAGACCTATTGTTGTCAATTCTAAGATATCACTCACTGCATCATCTATCCACACTGTATTCTGTATTCATCTTTCAACTTAACACAAAAAATCATCTGCATTTTTATAACTTCGTAAGAACTGTGGATTAAACACCTCTAACATTCATTAGATTCTGTCTGATCGGTTAAATGTACTTGATAAAAAAAAGATGTAGATCGAGTGTGAATGATAATCCACATTCATAATGGAAACTGGAAACATCTTTATAAGATTTCAAGAGGGAAAAAACAATTTTCACATCAATTTCATGATCTATTTGAAAACAACTATCCAAACACAGAAAATATATTTTCATGTAGGAGTAAAATACCTAGTCAAGGTAATCCCTTCACCCATTAGCACCAATAGAAACTAAACCGTACGAGCAGTCTAGAAAGGCTGTTGTATTGCAAATCTTTTGGTAAGAAGAAAAGAGCAAAAATCTTTATACTGTACATCATTGGTGCGTTGAAATAAACAGGGGCAATAACTAATTATTGAAATTCAATATCTATAATCCTTTGTTTCACTAGTTTTATCAATGCATTTGCCCATTTCATCAGGCCAGTTGGTGCAGAAAAGTAGACAAATGAAGCCCATATCAGATCAGATGATACTTAAATCTGCTAAAATTCAAAAGACTTCTTCCTCTCGGCAATAAAAACAACCAACATCAACTTTAAAAAAAATATAATCTGTAAAGCGTTCATAAGAAATTGGCAATGCTGCACCAATGGTGACAACTACATTTCAACGTAGGCATATAAAAAATGTATGGATAGTCCATGTTAAAAGCATTCTTCAATTCTTACTTTATCTAATCAACTGTAATAATGAAGTCTCACTTACAGTATAATCAAGTGATTACATAGAGAGAAGTAATTGTCCGTTACATGAAATAAGTAACAATTCTCTAAACTTTGGAGTAAATCTAAATTGGATCATCTAAGAAATATTATGCTATATACTTAGATGAGAGAAAAGGTTGGACGAGAGAAACTGTGTTTATGGTGCTTTTACTGATCCTCAGAGGCCCTCGTCCTGACTCTGTCTGCCCTTGTTCAACCTTTATTTCTTGACCAATCGCTTGGTATATTAATAGTTCAATTGATTTACTGTGACTCACAAAACCATTACACCTAGTTTCTCCCTGTATCTACTTAAAACTTGTTCTACCATAAAATAAAAATGGAGGCATTCAGAATGCTTTCTGTGATGAAAGAATGTTAGTTAGAGTGAATCGTCTGCTTTGGGGACAAATCAAACACAAATTGAGAATGAGCAGAAACAGACCGAACATTATTGAATAGAGAATAGAATGGAGAAGAGAATCTATCACACAGAGAACTGATAAATCCTATAAAGCTGTATGTGCATTGTAAAAATAGTCAATAAATGAAATGAAATGGGGTTTAATGCCCTATTTTTCTGCACCAGCTGAGCTAATGAAGATAGGCATAGGCTTTACAGCGTGTTATGAGGGAAATTTTGCCTTAATAACTGTGTTTCTGCACACCTACGCCTCATCGAATTCCATTAGGTAAGGATTTTTTTAAATCATCAGGTAAGAAGAACCTTCGGGGTTTTTATCAAGCCCAGTACGCACCTGACAGGTGTAATGTTAGTATGGCTGACAAGGAAGTCATATCCAGTTATATATATATATACATATATATTTTTAATGTGTAAATTTCTATCTCTTTTTCTATCTTATTAATGTACATATGTTCTCATTGTTTAAAGGAGCTAAATCGCTAATATTTTTGACCTAGAAATTGACACAAATGGGTCGATACGCATATAATGATGTAATATGAAAATATATAAACTGAGTTACATCCAATTGTTTCCATTTTTACTATAATTTCTAATCAGTTATGTTCGGCGAAATACGCCAGAAGTCTCAATAGAATGGCAATCTCTGGCGTCTGGTTATTCCTGTTTACACCGATAGTATTTATTGCGCATGCTCTCTAGATAAAATAAGAATATGGTGTCACCATTTGACACGTTATTCGAGTCCTTTGTTACAAATTGTGCTGAAACGCATTATGGTACACGATTCATGTACCAATGGTAAAATGTTTATTTTGTCTTAAATATTGGATATCAGAAGCCCATCTTTTCCTGGTAAGATCACAACACCAATGTTGGTCGCCAAAGTCGCAATTTGCGATAAAAATATGAAAGTGACGATTAAAATTTGATTTTGGCGATAATGTTTTGCGGTACTGGTGATTCTTTTTGAGAACTGGCGGAAAAAAATCTTAAAATTCTAATCGTATTTATTCTAGATTAACCATTACAATTACATTGAGTGTCAATCACGTGGCGTCGGATTCTATAAATTAATCAACTGGTTGATAATCCGGATCACGTCAATGAGTAAATATAATCAATTGTCTTAGATTAATGATTAGTTGATTGATAATTGCCAATGATATATATAAAGCCTATCTCAAGTCATTATTTACTCCTAATGATTAATCCAAGCGGTGATTATTTGATGTTTCGTTTCGTCTTTAACAAAAATGGCCGACAGTTCTTTTCGAAGAGAATGAAATATTTTGTAGTTGAATTTTGTTTACTGTGGCTTCATACGGCATGTAAAATATACAAGCATGTCTATCGGATATTATTATATTAAATTATATTATCATCACTGGTCGGAAACTTAAGAACTGGTTGAATAGCTTCGATTCTTGAGCGAGAAAACAGTTCGCCATTTGTCGCCAAAATGCTCTAAAAGTATAATTCTAAGCATCTCATATACATATATAACGAAACCGATGTCATTCTATCAGGGATTCAGATTTTGATACCTTTACGGTACCTGAAAATGACAAGAGGCCTATTGTACATGCAAAACATACATTTATAGAAAATTTGCAATCCTCGAATGAGATCTGACGTGTAAATAGGTCTACTGAAAATATATTGTGCTGTACACTGGCAAATAGAATAAAATCAACAAAAATAACACATTTTTGGCCGATAAAATATTTCAGTTGGCGGGAAAAAATATGAACCTTTTTTTTTTATATAAAAATTATCATCCATTTTGGCGGGAAAAAAATGAAGGCCAGTCTGAGCTCTGATGGCTGACAAGGAAGTCAGTTCCAGTTGTTCAGATGGAGAACAATTGTGTCATCATATAGAGGGAGAGTGCTATTGCAAGATTTACAATCTAAAAGATTATTTCATCAGAAAACTATCTAAACCATAACTTGATGAAGATGACACCAGTATGGGAAGTCAGCTATGTTAGTCTGATTAGGCCAAACCAATAAGATTTTCTGTTTTTCTGGATCTTGATAATTAAATAGCCACTTGAATCACATGAAAGATGTTTTGTTTAAAATTACAGAACTAAAAGAACTGGAACTAAAAGCTGTTGAACAGCACCACCAAGTACTTTTGGGTTTTCAAATAAGTGTTTTTCCCAAAGAAGGACATTTTTTACAGGTGTTCCCTAAGAACAGAAAATCAAATTGGCATGGCCTTATTCAAATAAAAATCTACTCACCATTAAAGTACCAAAATGTATTACTAAATGCATCTTGACCCACTGATACAGCCCTCTGAAAGAGACAAAAAATAAAATCATTATATTTTCAACTAATCTGCACACATTCCTTGATGACAAGTGAGATCCTGATGCTTAAAAATCCACAAATTTACCACATGACAGATTAGCACGATATTTTCATTTTAAAAAAAAAGACAATTTTAGCAATATCCCAATAAACATTTTTTAAATCTTTTTTTTATATAGGATGTTAAACGCCTTCTTTACAACCAAACAACTATTGTACACGTAATTGGCTGTCTCAACCATAAATCATGATGAGGCTAAAAAATTTAACTCCACAGAGAACATAATTCAACAAATAAACTGATATCAAATTGCAAATATTAACACCATAAAGATAAAAATAAGTTTTAATTATTGTGGATTAAATTAACAGCAACAATAGGGAATCAACTGCTTATAAATCAGTTGAAGCTCAAGCAAAATATATGACAAAGGTTTAATTATGCTGAATTCTTAGAAATTAGAGCGGATTAAATTAACAGCAACAGATAGGGAATCAACTGCTCATAAATAGATTGAAGCTCCATCAAAATAATATATGACAAAGAAAACCACAGTAGACGTTGTTGGGGTTTCTTAAAAATCAATGTCGCCAAAGGTCAGAGGAATCTTGTGCAATAATCTTTAAGATATCAATACGTAATAACAGGTTTCACAATATTACAATTATCAAAGTCTTGCAGAAAAACATACGAGACGTGCTCATACACCACGCGTTTAGATTTATCAAAGTTCATATCAATTGGTGGTATGAAAAGGTTATAAAAATCTGTTTAAAAAAAAAACATGTAGGAGTCGTGTTGATTGATTCACAATACAGCATAATAAATGAATACCTGGAGATTGAATTGTAGACACTTTTTCGAAATGGTATACTCGTAAATTACTATCCAAAAGACATTAATGTTTTTCATTTAGATGTAATAAAACGATTTCAAAATATTGTCATAACATATCATTTTCAAAGAGACAGTGCTAGAAAGTAACTTTGATATGGAAATAAATGTTTCAAATGTTTTGTCATCTTGAGATAAAGTTATACCAGCTCATCAATTTTAGACATATTTCACTGACATTTTTTTTAAGAGCACATAAAATGATCATAACAAAATTATATGTACTTAAGCTATTAAAACTTAGAGAAATTTAATTCAAATCCATTCATAATTAATTGAGACCTTTTGACTCGAAAGTCACAAAAAATAGACCTCCCAAAAAATCACTAAATGCCATTCATAGTAGACATGTGTATTCCTCAATTAATATCTACACTGCTGGGATGTGTACTCATTAATGCCTCATTGATTCCTTTATCCCCTAATAAAATAAAACAATTTAAGTCTTGATGCGTCATTTTAGCGCAATATGAATCAATTGACTCACAGGTAAATTCTTTAAGTCAATTAAGTTTAATGTCACTATCTCAAAACTGGTAAATAGGACTGAAATGACATTCCATAAAATATTCCTGTAACAATCCGCCCTGTATCTATAACATGTGCCCCTTTGGAAATTGCCCCATAATAATATCATAAATAATGTATTGGATGTTAAATTTGTAATAAACTACATCAACATATTGCCCGATGCCACCCCACATATCAGGAGAGGAAGAGGGAGGGAACTGTCTGTTTTATGGTAGACTATATTAATAGAGCGAACATACTGTTGTATAATCTGGTAATAATTTGAAATACAAATACAAGGTGATATTGATGTGATGAGAACAGAGCCAAGAATAACAGTGAAAAGTAACCAAGTCTTCTTCCCTCTACCACCATAATTACATAGATCATATTACTGCTGTTTATTTGGCATTTAAAACCACAATTTTGACACTGGATACATGCATATTCTGAGTACAGTTCCACTCTCTGATTATTGGCAGATTCACATGTAGATTACAATATACCTGGGATTAAGGTGATCCTGTGGTCATGAACATCTTAAATTAATAAGCTGAAAGATGCAAGTTTGAATGAACTGTGAATTCTGTACAATGCATCCATGACCAACCTTAGAGACTGCAGGAAAAGTGAATAATTTAGCAGTCCACAATAAAGATACTTTCGCCCATAAGAGAGCGAGAGAGAGCAACAGAATATCAAAGCCACTGATTTTCATTTGAGGGATATTGAGTCCCTTGCAAAACTACAATATTGTGAAAGTTTAGTCTATAAAAAGAATATCAGCCTGAAAATGGTTTAGTACTGTTCGGTATGTTATGAATGTCTGAAATTTTTTTAATTTTTGCATAATGTCATCCTCGTCTTCAAATTGTAGGTATACATACACAATGAGCTTTTTAAACAGAGAAATCCAACACCCCATTTGACGTCAATTTTCATTATGAATTAATAGGATACCATTGTGATTCAATTTCATTGATGCAAAGCATTAATTGTGATATCACAGTCTATATCATTATCTCACGCTTTGAATGCCCATCCCATCCCACCAATTGATGATAAAGGATAAAGCACACGACTGTGACACTTTTCTCATAAAAAGTGTTGTTTTACAATTTTTTTATGTAGTTACACAAGCCAGTGCCACCTCTTATAAGTCTTAAGTAAAATCTGAAACCAATCCTAGGGGTTATCTACAGCTGATATTTTGGTTTTGCCTTTTAAATTAAATGTTAAATAATCTGTTTGAGTACATTTTAGTGTGGATAAAGCTGTGAAATATTCAAATGATTATCATAGGCTTTAAAGTTCTCCTTCAACTTCATAATTCATAACATTATACATTTATAATGTTATGCCTTAAAGGAAATAAAATACTATCAATTTACTTTCTAAGCAGATGACATCATAAGGACTTCTTTGTTGAAGACAAGTGGTTTGAAAAAGTGCACACATTAAACCTTTCGACCACGTGTAACCCCCTACATTAGCTGTTAGTCCACAGTCCTAACCGAATGCCACAACCTGCTCTACCACCCACCACCATTTAAGAGAATATAAATAGACATCCATCAGAGGGCATTTATACATGTAGGTTAATATCTGTAACACTACCCTCTAAGGCCAAACCAATTAGATTTTCTGTTCTTCTGGATCTTGATAATTAAATAGCCACTTGAATCATGTGAAAAATGTTTTGTTTAAATTTCAAAACTAAAAAATTTGGAACTAAAAGTTTTTGAAAAGAACAGTCATGTACATATTAGCTTTTTCCTGAAGAAGTAAGACGGAAAATTTTGACAGGTGTTCCTGCAGAACTGAAAATCAATTTGGTGTGGCCTAAATTAACTGCTCTCCACTATAAAAATTACATATCCAATAATAATTAATATGACCTTTCAATTCCTACACATTTCTAGTAAGAAGAGACACGGATACAGTAATTACAATTTTTACAAACATGGGGGGGATTTGTTTTATGAGAAATGAGTAAAAAGAGTGTTGACATAAAAGTAATTTCAGAAATAAAATATATCATTACTTATTAGGATTCTCATATTTCTATATTTTCTTGTCGGATCCAATTAAAGTCTCACTTCGTTATTTGAGGGATGACGACTTATGCCATGGAGTGAGCATACCGTAAACTTTACCCTACTCTTCATCAAATTCTTGAATGTGCACATTGGTATTGACACAAGACACCAGGTTTTTCATACCCTCCATACAACTAGACATTTTTCCTTTCCAGGCCATCATTATCACAGCATCATAACAAAGGTCAATACATAATTCTGTTTTTCATCCAATCTAAATGACTTGGCCCTTTTCCTTGCCAGGCCATCATTTACAAAGGTCAATACATAATTTTGACCTAAATCAAAGAGGTTCGATTAAACCTGATCAAGTGGAAAAATTAGTAAAGTCTCCGGATACATGTATGTGCATGTACAAATCACATGAAAACCATTTTGACATAATCAACTCTTTCTATTGCATCCTATTCAACGGTGAAACATCGGGAATACAGAGTTGTGAATAGAAAACACAAGATGACAAATAAAACAACTAGTCTACCTACTAAAACCATTTATGAAAAACAGTTAATTGACAATTATATCAGGTTAAATTGCCTACATGGCTTATAAATTACTTATTTGTTCTATTGATTTTTACTAAGGCAACAAGGAGCGAAACTTAAAGCAGGAATTCCAATCCTATATGAAAAAAACCTTTTAACGTAGTGATGTATTAAATAATAATGAACAACACAATATATCACATATCAATAGAAATTGGCATATAACGCAAGATAAATAAAACTCATTGAAGAGAAATAAATTAAAATCTGATTAACGGTGTTCTAGATATATTTCACAACACATGCTGGATAGAGTTATTTTGTGGAGTTAAATTAGCATATACCACAAAATAAATAAAATTATCGATGAGGAATAAATTAAAATCTGATTCACAGTCGTTTGGTTATATTTTGCAACATGTGCTGGGTAGAGTTATTTTTTAGAGTTAAATTAGCATATACCGCAAAATAAATAAAATTATCGATGAGGAATAAAATAAAATCTGATTCACAGTGTTTTGGTTATATTTTGCAACATGTGCTGGATAGAGTTATTTTATGAAAATTCTAAAATCTGCTTTTAAACTCCTGATGACATCTCACCCCAGGATCCTTTTTGTTTTCCAAACTCTATTAATTAAGAAAAAAGGTCACTAAACCAAAAACTTTCTGTGTTCTATATTTGTCTTTTAAATTGAATAATTAACGAACAAGAAAACCATACAACAATAATTTGTTAGTGAACTCCTAAATAGATTCTTTTATAATCAATAGCACATCCCACTCCACCACTCCCTGGAATACATAAAATATTTTCTGACCTACTATCTACCATTTTAAACACTGCTAATCAGTGAGTTTTTGATTTGCAATACTACAGATAAGGAAGATCTTATTTTTGAAGAATATCACAATTTTTAGCATAATCCTAATTTTTATATATAATAAACTCCAAATTTAACTGTCAGGTCTAAATGTTAAGGTCAACTGCAAATT